AGCTTGTTGTGAGCAGAGGCTTCAGTGCCAAGAACACAACGACCGTCTGGTGTTGGCACTACGAGATTCTCCGAGCCGATGGTGTATTTGTGCTGTCCAATCGTCAGCTCCATCGTTGCCTTGACAGTACAGTCGACGACGTAGTGACCGTAATTGTCATCCCACTGAAATTATAAGTTAAAGTCGAACAAATTCAAGAAGGGCTAATAATTTAAAAGTCTCCGTTCAGGCGCTCATATCCTTAGGGGGTAGGACATTCCGAAAAAGGGCAAGTTGACACTATAACAAATTGAAGAAAGGCAAAGAAATGCCTAGGAGACGCAATGAGCCCCAGGGAGGTCAAATGCTCACTTCCTCCCCGAATAACTTTCCCTCCCTAGGCCTATTCCCGAGTTCTGTAAGTGACCTGCTCACTTCGATGTTCCCCTAACGACACTGCGGTGCCATCATCAGATTAAGGAAGGCTATAGCGGGTGAGCTGTCGTTTGAAGCATTCAATATTACACAGCTTAGTAGGAAAACGGACGAGTTCTCTCAACGGATTTACTGGTTTTCAAAAAGAGGGACAGAATGTTTTATTATATGACTGGAATTCTTCGATAGTTTCGTCGCCCCGAAGCATCACAACAAATTTGAAATTCCACCCATTCACTTATAGTGGGTTGTATTGTGCTGTAAACTAATTTTCTGGTGAAAATGGAATTATAGTCACTCCATTCTCCTATACGGCTCTCGATAAAGATAAAGATAGGGGCGCTGATAACGCTAACAATAAGGGAAGAGCTTTTATAACACCTTCCTTCATAAAGGCTAAGGACCGCTTGAAATGACGCGGCGAAGCGATTTCGAACCAAATAGCGATATCCTAACCTAAATCAGGGGGTAATAGAGTGGAGGAAGGAATGAAGCACATAGTGGGTGGTTACAAATCGCATAAATGGTCGATGAAACTTAATATATCATAACTTGATTATCAATAACTTTTACCATTGAACGCTGGTTAGCAAAGCTCTAATCTTACAGGTAAGCATCCATACCCTACCATGATCTTTATTGTTAACACAAAGAATGGAAGTGAGGTATTTTAGCCTAGCACAGATCCTGAATAGAAGGTAACCTCTCATTCTCTTCAACAGGTGGACCACCAAAACGTGCAAAAAATGGACGATAGGGGCTCACCAGGTAATATCAATAACTTACTGTGCACGACTTTGTTATAAAACCTCTAATGCTTACAGCTAGAGAATCCATAGAATTCTCTGGCTCTTATTGTTAGGGCCGCAGAGCGGAATAGAAGGTGGGTTTAATTTTTAGCCTTATAAGAGTCATAAAAAAATTGAATGTTACCCCACAATTGTTTGAATGCATAACCCACTTTAGCTCCATGCGCGTCAGCGATCGCAGCTGCTTCTGGTGCCGGTATCTCTATAAAAGGGCTTGAAGTGTCCGACCTGGCTCTCCATGTCGCAGCCGAAACATACTTTCCTGATTTCATAGCTTTAACCTGAATAATGGCAGGCTTTCAATTGACATGAATCTACCATAATTAATTTATATCTCGGAAATTTCGCTCGCTTCTCATATGTATATAGTCAAATGAAAACCTTGTTTCAAAAATTTCATCACTTTTCGAGTACCTCAAACTGCCAGTGAGTTTTCGTTGTCAGAGGTTCATAGGCAATTACCGGTCCGCAGTGAACTTTATCGATGGCACCATACGTGATGACACCACCATCAACTTCTCTCTGGCCTGAAACATTCCTTGGTGGAGGAACTAAACAGTGGCTGATGATGGATTCCCAAGACTACAGGAGATTATTCTTCCTACTCTTCCCAAATTATTGAGCGACTACTTGCCATGTTTGCAAGAAGGTGGTGCCCTCGGCATGAGAATGGGTAACCCTCAACGAAATATAGGGTAAGGGTTAGGACTTCCTATTCCATCTTTTATCCGGAGTTTGATTTGTACGTTATGCTTTTGTAGAAGAAGCCTGACCAAAATTTAGCTCTGTGTGACCTGATTTGATTTTTTTCTTTCTTAATTGGAATACAGCAGCATGAAGGTACCTAATTCACCTTATACCTCATCTTGTGCCCTCCTACGGTACGAAGGCATAAGATGAGGGTCAGAGGAACTTCAACAGGAGCAAGTGCCTCCACCTTTTTCACGTGACATCTCCAAAGCAAGGGTTGAGTCGCGCATATAAATAAACAAGCAAATAATCAAAAATCAATAAACAACCAAATGGGCAATAGGGGAATCTTGGATTTTTTGGAGGCAGTAATAATTTCTTGAACTTTCTTACCATTAGCTGTCTTCATGTAGACAGTGAATAAAGATTTATCCAGTAGATGAAGATCCATGGCGCGATTGACAGGAGAAGTGATTCCACCAGCTGCACCCATAGGCAGTCCCAATCCCATGACGCCATCGACATCCGTCTGAATTTTTTTTATGGCTTAATTTTGCATTCAGCAAACACATGACTTGGTTCTCCCCTGATTCAAAATTTTGTTAGGATCATAGTCAGCGTGGATTCGAGTGACTCGAGTTCTGACTAGTAAACAATCCAAGTAAACTACTCAGTAACAGATTGATTGTATCCGGTAAAGGAATCGAAGTAGAAATTTACCCAGAGAACGGTAGTACATTTAAAATTATATTCATGCAATTGACGCAAATATAATAAATCTCTAGTGCACTCACGCCCGTGAATGAAGATGTGAACTTTGTCGCTTGACCAAAGGCGGTGGTTGGGATGACAAGCTGTTTCGATCCTATCGCTCCGATTCGTACTGTATCATTTCCAACTACACCTTCTGCAGCTACTGGCCACTGAAAGTGTAACTGCAGATAAATCAGCGAGTAGTTATCAGCGAGTTTCGCTAGCAAACCTCAACAACGCTCAAAGTTCACCACTCTATAGCGGTCAACATTGTTACTGTTTAGAGTGAAATGCGGATATCTGGGAAGCCTCCCCTAAAACGGGAAGAGCGTCGGGTGCAGACCATACACCACAAGTGACGACGGCCTCCACAAAATGAAATGTTTTCTGCCAATGAAATGATTAGCCTGTTGCAGTTGTATTCTATCGTTGTCACTAATTACAACTATCATTTACCAGAAATCAGCTATCACTATGAACAACTTCTAACCAGATTTACTTGGAGGCCGTCGTCACTTGTGGTGTATGGTCTGCACCCGACGCTTCCCTTCTGGAAGGGGGATCAAATGCATCGTTCGCGATAAAGTGTTGCTGCAATAGACGCGCCACTTTCGCCGACTCACAAGTGCGAGACCGGCGTTACGGCCTTGTATTGTGTGCAGCCGTGTGCGGAATACGTGGCGTCTGCGCCCTCTCGCAAAAGAATGCCACTTTCGCCCTCCTCCCTCCCCCTCGCAAGCGCTGAGTTCTACGTTCTACAAGGCCTACCTCAGGAGGGGAATGCCAGTGTTTTCCATGGCCCTTTTTGCTCTTTCTGCCATTCAACTTCTACATTACACTTCTTGCCTAATTTTGAACAAAAAAAACGACACGATCGCGACTCGTGCCTATCAAATGCGAATAGACGCTTTTCCAAGTGTAACCAATACCATCTGCTTCCCAAACTCTACGCACCGTCGCCATAATTGTAGGAAATCTCAGCAATTTATGCAGTGCTTAGTGCCGATGTGTGGGCAAAGGTCAACCCGAGCCACAGGCCTATTCCAGAGAAAAACTGATTATCCCTCTTAGGGTGTCTTGATAAGGCCCTCCTTCACTATCGTCAGCCTGTAGGTCTATGCAACTCTCCCCGCCTCACTACCGGCCACCACCTCGTCACCATTACTGTTGATATAGTAACAACTCCGACCGCTTTTTTTTTCCCAAAAATTTATATTTCTTGACTTTTCATCAAATTCTCAAAAAACCAGAATCTGAAACAATCTAATCGCTCCCACAGGTTACGGACCCCCCGCAAACGTTTCAACAAAACGACCTCCCGTTCCAACACTTAGTCATCTTTCGAGTCAATCTCAAATAACGCCCCTTCTCTCGAAATCATAAGTCCCCTCCTCCTCTGGTTTGTTAAATAGAATTATCACAAAATAGACGTGACGGTTTGAGAATGTAGTGAGAAAACTTTTAAAAAGCCTGTAGTAGTCTCTCAATTCATTTTATTGTCCACGCGATTCTAGTTGTCGTTTGTAACTAATAATTAGATATAACAGCCCTAATAGAGTACTTCACACTCACCTTGGCAATCCATCTCCCTTCCATTTTCACATAGCTGGATGAAGCTCTCGCATCGAAAAAATTCTTGCCATTACAAGCGTTCTGTCTCTGTTGACAGCAGGCTTGTCGCACGTACACTCTGGCATATCACATGAAAATGCTCATGATAACGGTTCCCTTTTCTAGGCTGTTGAGGTGTTCATAAGAAATATACGAGAAGAATTTAAGAAGTACTGAGCGCCAGCAGGAGGGAAAAGAGTCGGTAGAAAAAAAGCATGAATGTGAAGGAGGCAAGGATTTGGCCCATGGCCCGGGTGCTTGGTGCATCTCCCCTACAACAATGCCTCAAAACGTTTGCCTGGCAATTTCGTGCCGCAAGGTCGGTACGACCCATATATTTGACATACACCCCCTTTCTCTCGTACTGTGACTTCACTTCATTGCCCTAATCCTGGGTGGTGCTTTTCAAGGCAAGTTCTAGGATGAGGCTACGGAGTAAACCCATTCAGTAGGTGCAATGGAGCTTCTCGCGGACGTCGTCTAGGCGTTGGGTCGCTGTGCCCTGTGAGATTGTAGTGGAGACCCTATGGCCTACGACTGTTATTGGGGCCAGCTGTTCACCAGCCACATCCTGTAGAGCGTCGCGCCCCGCCCCATGCTGTTACTTGTCCCTGACAGCCAGCAGCGTCTCCTAAAATAGGAAAAATCGAGACGAGGAATCAGTTCAAATGAACACTCGACGACTTCTTCGAGTCCTAACTCCCGTCGTTTCGGGAGGAACGAATTGAGAAACTGGCAGAGTGCGATGCCGAAGTTGTAGACACGGTTATATCTCCGATGTCCAGAACTTGCTTTGAAAGTATTTTCGGAAGAGTCGTGAGGATAAACTTTCTAACCAACTCAGGAAAACAGGTGTGTTTGAAAGAAAAATGTAAACGAAATTTCACCTCCAAGATCACATTCTGGGCTTTCACAGTTCTTTCCTCGAGATTTCCTGCACGAAACATCGGGTACAAAGAAGTCGGACGATCCCGTGCTCACGATAACCTGTAAAGAAAGCAGATTTACCCCTATCGCGCCTATCCGAAGGGAACACGATGGCTGGAGGGTGGAGCAATTTTGGTGAGGTTACTGAGCATGATTAGAGGAAGTGCCTCGGGATATGGTACCACCCACACCTCCCGGCATGCAGAGTGGACTGGTCCCATTATCGAGACCGCTATGGTCTCTAGCTAACGTGTTCCCTGCTTCTGAAAGGTATCATATCAAGTAATAATCACAGATAATTTTATAAGAGCATCAGACTTTTAGACTCACTCTGAAGCTCTGTTCAGGCGTACCGATTGTTATGTCAGCCACGTACTCGACAGCGTCATAGTTGCTCACCTTAATAGGAACATATGGAAGTACTTCACAACCTTAACTTCTGTTTAGATTTTCCAGTGTTAACTTAATTTGTGCTTACTAACTAACTTGAGTAACATCGTGAAGAACTTGATCTCCACTGAATCCTTTTTCCTTCATGTGTTCAGTCCATAGTCCTAATCTGATGAGTTTATCCCGTCTTGACTCAATCTTCGTGAGGCGCACTTCATGTACATCTGCCAAGGCGCTTGCCAAAATGGCCAATACGAACATCACCCAGTGATTCATTTTGAACCTGAACTATGTGTTATATTTAGACTTGCTAAACGTTGCTTCGCCTGAGCAGCGGAATTTCCGTCTAGTAACTTATAATAATTCGCTTAAAATGAGTAAGTGTCATAGATACACAAGAAAGTACCGCTCAAGTTAAAAACTACCAAAAGACAGGGATCAGGATAAAATTGATTTTTTAATCCTTCTCGAATATTGAATTAGGAATGGGACGCGATGAGGAAGACGGG